GGATCGCCCGTGACGATGATTCTTGATAGTCAAGCGATTCAGGCCAGTAAACGGACAAAATAGATCAGAGTTGTAGGCATGAATTCTCTCTGATAAGAAGTATCTTACGATGACTTTGAAGTGTAAGTGAACAATTGTGAACAGCCCAGACTGATGGAATGAGGCCTTGGCAAACACGAGTTTAAGTACGCCGCCGGGTTTTGGCTAGCTCTGCCTGCTGACAGCCACCAAGTCGCTCAGCCATTCCCTTGCGGACGGGTATCTCCACGACGCCGCGTCGGCATCCTCGCACACGCATTCGTCACACAGGCAGCAGCGCCGCAGCTCCGTGCCCGAAGCCGATTTCCCGGATAGTGGCATGGTAGACCAGCCCTATTGGGCTGGCTGACTGAGATGGGGCCGTACGCAGCAGAGGCCGCGGATGCTCCGTCGACGGATTTTCCACGGAGCTAACTGTCAAGGAGGCTGTATCATCACTCGTGCACGTTGCCTGCTAAACCTCGAAAGTTTAATTCTCGCCGATCTTCTAGACGGGATGTTGAGGATGAACAACAACTGGCCACTTTCGGCCATTGACGGAAGGACGACGGCTTTAGTGAACGTCGCGGCTTCGGGCTCACTGATAGCGCGATGCTCTAAAGGCTGATGTCAGAACTTGTTAGTTCGCGAGAGCAAGACGAAAAAAACGAGCCGATGTCCCGAGTAATCTTCCAGGTGCATAATAGCACTGATGCAAGGCAATTTTGAAAGAAGTTCTGTCATCCCATCTTTGCTGAATAGATGGTAACTTGACCTTGGTTGAAGCTGAGTGGTCCGGGCCGAGTTGCTACGATTGGGTGGAGCCCACCCAAGGTACCATTTCTTCTTGCCTCAGGCCACCAAGGCATCGAACTCGGAGCTTGCGCTTCGGGAATCTAGAAACCTTCAATTGGCATCACAACCGCCGAGCTACGTCCCACTCCCGCATCTAATCAACCACATCAAACCCGTCCCGTCCTCGAAAAAACCGCCAAAATGGTCTTCGCCTGGAAAGCTGCCGGTCTCACGTGAGTCAATTGATCCCGCCCACGAAACGATTGCGTCGGGGAAGCGACAGAAAAGAGGGAACGGAAAAGGCTAACCCGGCAACCCCCGATTAACAGCTACAACCGCTACCTCGCCGTCGCTTCTCGCGTCGTGCGCCGCAGCCTGAAGGAGGACAAGAGAATCGCCGCCGAGCGCCGCGGAGAGATGGAGCTGCGTTTCGCCAAGTGGGAGGTGAGCGACCGATAGAAGCGACCGACGAAAGAGAGAACATTCGCGCTGACAGAAATGCCCGCAGAACGGCAAGCAGGGCGACCCCAAGCCCCTCGCCCAGGCCACTGTCGCCAAGCCCGCCGCCTCCTCGTAACCCGATCTACCGAAAGAAAAGGAAATGGATGAGATTGTATGAGCGACGGAGCATGACGTGCGTCGAAAGGGATAGATGGGGGTGGACAGATGGAAGGGTTGAAATGCAAAGCGCCCCTTCCGGGCACCCGCCGGCTCCTAGGCAGTGAGCTGCTGTATCATATCAAAAAAGTGGCATAAAATCTATCAATCCGATGCCTCATCTTGCCAAAGTTTTCTGAATACTCACGTTTTTTTGCTGGTGGGATTGGTGCCTCTGAAGTTGCGATGTCGGGCACAGTGACGAGCCGCTCGACATCGGCCAGAATGTTGGGCGTGCTCCCTCCACAGACCCAAATTTGCCCGCCGCCGGACAAACTCGGTTGTGATCGCTCCATGTTCCCGTCTCAGGTACTTCGCACAACAACACCAAGCGCCTTTGGCCTGCACGCCGGATTGCAAACAAGTGACTGCCTCATTTACTTCCGCAGGCCTACTGCAATCCCGTCCCTGCGGACCTTGCTGGCAGAGTTATTGTGGCGCGCCCCTCCATACCATTTTTATTCGGCCTATCCATGCCCGGCCGCAAAGTCACTGTGACCTCACTAAAACTACACTCCCTACCAAGCGTCACTCAACAGAGCCTCATATGAGGCGCATCTGCTGAGATGGCCATTTCTTCCGGCTTTGGAGTGTCCGAAGGTGGTTTTCTCACTCTGAACGGTTGTTTTGCACGTTGCTAAACTCAACCTAGACATTTCAAGGCTCTCGCTGGAGCAAGGGCGCGAACCCCCGCCGCCCCCGCCGCCCAACATCTCAAGTGACGGCATCGTCGCTTTTGATATCACATCAAAATTCACTGCAGCCGCCGAAAGTGAGCTTCAACCGTGGGCTTTTTCAAAGCAAATATCAGTACTGACTATTATCAAGAGCTTGAACCCGGTGAGCTCGTCAAAGATGGCTTCTTCACTCTGTTTGAGTCCGTTGGGGCACTGGAGGTACGCGGAAATGCTGTTGAGATGACCGTGGACTTCACGCTCACCGCGAAACCAGATCATGGATCCGAAAATGGACAGCGGCTGCCTCGAGGCGGAGGAGTCTCTTGACGTAGACTACGACGTATCACGGCCCCTCCTCCCCGAAGAGGTCCTTGGCATAATCGACCAACTGCTCTGCCACGAGGTAGGTGCCTATCTCCGTCAACATAGCACCCAGCTAACGCTCAGATAGATGGCCTGGCATGTCGGATACCCCCTATCCCAGACTCTATTCACAAGTGTATACGTTGAGTCAATTTTGATGCCCAACCCGACTACTCTCGATGACGCCCACTTCATCCGGGACGCCAACGGCAAACCACCAGCACCGATGCACGCCGTCCTCCGGGCGTACATCCTAGGGTTGCTCAAAACATGCGGCAATGTCAACGAGAGGATAAAGAGCGAGCATTACTATGAGGTAAAACTCTTGCCCTTTCTCGGTGAATTTGGCTGAACGTGCCCTTAGGAGGAAGACTTTGTTACAAATACCTACAACAGAGTCCTGCTCGACGACTTCAGCGTCGAGTCAGTTAGAGATATCATCAAGGATGCTAGCTTCATTCTGCGTCACTCCACGGACTCGGTACCGAAAGAGCTTGTAGACGCTCTGAACGCCAGGTTACTCCTCAGATATACCTTTCTCGCCGCCATTGACCACACGCAATACCGGACCGACCCCGATCGGATCAGGAGCCCGTGGCAGGAGGCCTTCGGCATGCTCCCAGGCATCAAGGACAGCCATGGCCTTGGCAAGCCCGTCCCCGAGGCCTTCAGTGCGAAGTTGCAGCGCAAGCTCGCCAGCACCATGCCCCCGCGGCCTATAGTCCAAACCAGCTTCGAGGATGCCTTTGCAAATCTCACGAGAATGATCAGCGACGGGATAGAAGTCGTGGGCGTGCTAAACTACACCGACTCGATCTGCCTCCAGGTACGCCCTCCCCCCGACCCCTTTTCACCGTCGATCTACCACTGACAATTCCCCTCAGACCTACGTCTCAACCTTCCAAGCAAAGAAGCCTCAACCCCTAATCTTCGTCCGCACCCTTCTCCAATCATTCCTCTTCAAGGACATGGAGGTCCTCGGGCACAAGTCAATCCGCCAACTCCTCGACGACGACTTCTCCATCGTCTCCCTCCCCGCCTCCCTCCTCCTCGACCGCGCAAACGACGAGATCGAAGCAACCCACGACCCGCGCTTCACCATTGCCGCCCAGATGGAGTCCTTCCGCATGCGCGCCGCGCAGCCCTACCTCGACATCCTCCGCACCTTCTGCCAGAACCGCTGCCGCGTCCGCCGCACCCTGTGCCACATCGTCCGCGACTGGGAGAACCTGCAGTTCGACGCCGAGGACATTGACCAGATCATCCAGCACCAGAGCGACGAGCAGCCCGTCGTGTACCAGTCCGCCTCTGGCCCCGTCGAGACCTTCTCCCTCCCTCTCTCCTCGTGGGCGTACCTCTACAAGGTCAAGCAGATGGAGTGGATCGTCCAACTCGGCTTCGAGCTCGAGGTCTACCAGCCCGACGAGCTCGCCGGCATGTACTGGTATCTCAATTTCCTCGCCAAAAACCGCCTGCAGCACGTCGAGCGCATAAAGTCCTTCGTCGTGAGAAGCCTCAGCCAGGCCCAGGCCAACAGGCAGCGGCTCTCCGCGACGGCCGAGGCGCAGTACACAAAGTCGCTCGCGTTCCTCCGTCTGACGCTGCTCGACGCCGCCGTGACAGAGGGCCTCTCCGACGCGTTGTCCTGTCTGTACACCGCCCTGCACCGTCTCGGCCTGATCAAGCCGCCGCCGCGGCCCTACAGCACCGACGAGCTGCGTTACGAGCTGCGCATGAAGCCCTTCGCGGTCATCGGGCTGCCGTCGCTGCCCACCTTTGAAGAGTTCACCATCGGCACGCAGCAGTCTGACGCGTCCGTCGGCGACCTCCTGGCGCTGGCTGACAGGGCCATCGCCGGCGCGAAGAAGGGCTTCGAGGTCATGAGCAAGTTCCCCGAGACGGAGTCCTTCTCCGTCGGATCACATGATCGCTGGGTGCCGACCACCAAGAACGGGCTCAAGTCGTGCATCGCCGCGGGGCTGGCGGTGTCGGTAATCAGAAAGGCGCTAGACAAGTCGGGCGAAGGCGGGGACCTCAAGCTCAAGGCCGAGGTGCCGACTCCAGACAAGTCGTATCACGAGTGGTGGATCGTCCCGAGAATCATACCCGTTCGGTGAGGCTCTGAGAGCAACGGACCGAGGTGTAGCATAAGATAGACTTGCAACGGATAATTGAATCCTACTTCTAAAAAAAGATGTGATACTCCTAGATTTCTTCCCAATTTCCCAAAGAATCATGTGATGCTACCTTTAGCAACCATGTTCGCCCGATTTCCATCCAATACCCGTGTTTTAGGGTATTTCCGTGATTTCCGTACAAAAATTTGATACAAGTCGCGTGTTACGGACATATATGCTGAGCTACCATGCGATGCGATGGAGCGTCTAGCTGGCTTGGTCTATATATGCGTTTAAATCTCAACCTCTAGTCCCAACTGTGTTGACTTGCGCAGTTTCCAAGTTTCGAGGTAGTCATTGATTTATGAAGCATTTACGCGCGCTTCTTGGACAGCAGCCTGAGCTTGACAGTCTGCTCGTAAAGGACGTCCTTGAAGGCGAAGAGGAAGGCGGCGGTCAGCACGCTCTGAGTGACCTTGGGGCCGATACCTGGACTTATTGTTAGTGCTGTGTGCATCTCCGTCTTTGGCATGTGATATTTACCCTTGTAGAGGCCGGCGTAGCCCTCCTCCTTGATGACCCGGCTGATGGCCTGGGACATGCCCTCCTTCTTCTCGCCGTTGCCGGCGACGTGCATCTGGCTCTTGACCGTGATGTACGGGTAGGTGACCGACGTGGCAAACAGCTTGCCCAAGGCGCCGAGGAAGAAGGCGATGGTCGGGGTGACCCTCCTCTTCTTCTCAACGGTGTTCTTCATCTGCTCGAACAGGGTGTACTGCAGAATGGGGTTGATGACGAGCACCAGCGCGGGAATGACACCCGAGAACAGGGCCTGAGGGCCTTCGTTCTTCAGCAGCGCCAGCAGCGTGCCGATGGTCGAGGGCGCCTTCGCGGGCTTCGCGGCCTGCGCCTCCTCGTCGCCCTCCTTCTTGGCGCTGGCCTGGCTGCGGGTGGTCATGCGGGTGTTGACGACCCAGATGGGGTTCGTGAGGATGACGGTCGCGGAGCCGGCGATGGCGCCCGCGATCATGGACTCGACGGTGGTAAGCTTCCTGTTGGCGCGGCCGGCCTTCTCGGCGGCCTTCTCGAAGAAGGCGCGGGTCCATTCGTACCAATAGTAGTAGACGAAGTTGGTGACGCTGATGCCGAACAGCGCGGACTCGAGGCCGGAGTAGAGCCCGGACACGCCCTCCCTGGCGACGATCTTCTGGACGGCCGTGAGGAAGGCGGAGTCGGCGCGCTTCGATTCGACCTGGGCGCGGGTGGAGAGGGTGATGAGAGGGTAGCTGCGATGATGGGTGTGATTAGAACTACGGTTTGCGCCACGCGAACGAATCTGGGGTAAATCTGGAGATGATGGAGGCACGGGGGTTCCAGAAAAAGTCCCCTGGTTCTTCTTACGTCAAGGCCATGGAGAGCAGACCCCCGCCTGCGCCAGCGAGGGCGTGGGCGACATTGTCGTTCTGCGGGATTGCTGGCTTGGACTGCGACATGGCTGTGGATTATGGTGTATGTATGGTGTCTGTCGCTGGGAGGAGGCTTAGGTTGGTTTTACGAAACTTGGGACGAGAGGGCAGCGGTGCGATGATGCATCAACCTGAATGCGGGATGTGGATGCTGACGGATGCGCCGTATTTGAATGGGAGTCTGAAGAAGTCGAGTCTGGCCTTCTGCCATCTCAAACAGTACCAATCCCTTGGTTGGAGCCGAGGTCAACCACGTTAGCAATGCCGAAGGGGGGGAGGCCACACTGGAAGGGCTGCCGCTAAGAACCTTAACCCCAGTTATGTCATTCATGCTATCACAGGCAGGGGGCTGGAAAAGGGTACTGACGGTCACAGGTCGCATGTGAAGAATGGGGCGCCAATCTCCCATAATCTTTGCCCAGCAGGGTTTAACTCCGAATTTTCGGGGATTCGGGATCTCTCACGTGGAGAGCCTGGTTTTCGAGGCGGCCCCGGCCCCGTGAGCCGTCCAGGTCGGGTCGAGCGCCGAGGCGGGAGAGATCGGGTCGGCGGGGAAATATTGTTCCCCTTGTCTTTAATGGGCGTGGACCGTGCCCGCGGGAAAAAGTCAAGTTGCTGTCAATTGTCTCTCGTCCCCGCCAAGGCGACCGAGGGGTGGCTTGCACTAGGCCACATTCGGAAGAAAGTAAACAAAACAGCTTTTTGGGCTGACATTGACAACTGGCCCAGGGCCCTGTTGGGACCCTCTTTGAGCGCCAGCGCAGCACCACCCTGCCGGCACCGCGGCCACCACACCACTTCGCGCGCAACACACCTTTCCCATGAATAGCTTTCAACGTTTGTGCGACTAACCTACAGGAAGGCCAAAGAGCCCTGCGCGTGTTCTTCTTTTTGGCGTCTTCTTTTGGTTTCTTTTTTGCTTCTTTGCATAAAGTCTACGCGATATTCATACCCAACGGCGCGCGCGTCTTGCCGCCCCAATTGCGCCAGCCAACATGGCGACTCCAATAACACGAGCACCCAGCGAAGATGACCTCTCGTCGCCCGATCCCCTCAACGACAACCTCTCGTCCGCCCTCTACCCGTCGACAAATCGCGTGACCCGAAGCCAACGGTCCCAGCGATTGTTCTCCGTCGGAGGCCCCGGGACGTCGCCTAGAAAGCAGATGTTCGAGCTCGAGGTCGGAGACAATCGCAAGCCGCAACGCCTACTAGTTACCGTTGAAGCCGAGGACGAGTACGAGAATGTCGGGCGCAGACTTTTCAACGCGCAAACACCCAGCCTCAGGAGAGGCACGACTACAACAACTATCCCGCTCGGTGGCGACAAGAGAGCCACGGCGATTAAGACTCCGGCGCGGAGGGGTCGTCCACCCAAGAATGCGACGCCGGGACCCAGCGGCGCAGGTACCGGCACCACAACGAGAAAGAGGAAGGGAACACCAAGGGGAACGCCCAGACCGGCGCGCAAACCCAAGATTGGAGATTCAGATGATCTGAATTCAGACATGACCATTCCTCAAGGCACGCCGAAATCTATAATGCGCCGCCCACGCGGTTCTAGTCGCCAGGGTTCCACGGATCCTGCGCCTTCGACAACGCGGCGCCGCGGCAGGCCAAGAAAGGTCGATTTCAACCCCGACGAAACTATTCATACGATTGAGGACTTCGACCAGGTTGTTCCGCCATCGGACGATGTTCTTGCGGCGGGTATGCAACAGATGGATGTGGACTCCACCCCGGCGCGGAAGCAACCGACGGAGAACGTACCAGAGTCTGATGGGGATATCTGGATGGCAACGATGGATGATGAGCCAACACCGCGGCCGAGGAATCATGGAGACACGAGCCAACGGCGCGTCTCGTCGCCCTCCCATCCTCAAAAGAGCCCGACGCCGTTTGATTCCGACGATGGCAACGAACCCGCTTACGATAACTATGACTTTGGCCCGGGACCGGCGAGCGATATTTCGTCTCTCGTCGGCGACGACGATCAGCCCAGCAGTGGCTCTCGCGACCGAGATATGGACACCGTCGCCCAGGGCGAAGACTTCAGCATGATCTTTGCGAACTCGATCCCATCACTTAAGAGCAGTATGGGCGTGCAAGCATCCGGCCCAGAAGACTTTGGCGACGAGACAAACATGATTATTAACCAGACTCTGGAATCGCTAAGGCAAAGTGGCGCTCTGCGCCCGGACGACGAAGACGAGGAGGATGAGGTTGTGGGCATTCCCACTCAGCAGGCCGAAGAGTCTAGAATGGAGGTCGAAAATGACGTGACGCTTCACACCTCGCCATCCACTAGGATAGAAGCTCTCATGGACTCCTTGGTTGACAACTCTGTCGACATCAACAATGAGACGATTCCCGATGTGACTGGCGAAGTCAACGTTGAGTCCATCGTCGATATGAGCGCTGTCACCCACTCACCTGTCGATCTTCCATCCCTGCCGACTCCTAGACTGCGCGCACCTTCGTCGGCTGCAGGAAGCGATGGCACGCCCAGCAAGGGCAATCAGTCGCCTGCCTGGATCCGGAGCAGCCCTCGTCGCAAGTCTATCCCGCTGGGTAGGAAGCTCCTCGAGTCCAAGGCACGCCAAATGGATGACTCCTTTTCCAGCATTCCCTCCAGAATTCTAGCCGCTGCGACACCTGCCAAGAAGACCTCTAGGCGAAGCTCGACCTCAAGACGAAGTTCGGGTGTGAGACGAAGCTCGATGGCCAACGAGGAGGACTCTGCCGCGTATGAGGATGATTTTTCCGAGATCCCCGAAGAGTATTTGGAGGCTGCTACCCCTGGTAGAACGCTGCAACGAGTGGACGAGACCGAGCTCAACGAGGAAGAAGAGGCCGAAGTTGAGTCGCAAGAGGACAGGGATATGGAGGAAGTTGAATTGGCAGAGGAAGAGCCCCCAAAACCTTCTCCGACAAAAAGTGCCGACCGTTCGAATGCGAATGTACTCACTCGCTCAGACTCGAGCAGGATGCTCACGCCGGACGACACTCTATCTTCTAATGAAGTTCCTGTCCCTGACTCCGATGGCAAAACCATCGAGGCGCCTCAAACGTCTCCCTTGGCCGAGCAGTCTCAATTGCCGGGAGATTCGAGCAAAGTAAGGAGTGAGGGCAGAAGCAGAAGCAGAAGCTCTTCTTCTGCAGCAGGGCAACATCATCTGCCTGCTGAGAGCTCTCCCCTTGTTTCGCATTCTTACCTGCCTGAACAGAGAAGCTCTTCTCCTATGGCCGAGGAGACTTTCCTGCCAGACCAGCGAAGCTCACCTATAGCCGAACAAACTTTCCTCCCCGACCAGCGGAGTTCGTCTCCGGTGGCTGAACAAACCCATCTACCCGAGGGAATTTCTCCCCCAGTTGTTGATCATTCTCATTATCCACAACGCAGTTCTTCCCCTGTAGTCGAAGAGGCCAACGAACCTGTGGCGGCTGCTGAGAAGAACGCTGTGAGGAGGAACTCAGTTCGAAGCTCTTCGCTTCCCGTCGGAGACCTGACGACAAACTTGCCTCGAATGGCGAACGAATACATTACACCAGTAGGCCCGGCCTCGTCGCCAATTCCGGCGCCTACTGGCAACCTCTTAGCACCTCGTGCGCCATCGCCCGAGGCCGGCTTCCGCCCGACCCTGTCGCCGATAGTTCGTGCCGGCCGAGCTCTACAGAGCGTCACGTCAGATGCCTCGTCTCCTCCTCGCCAGAACTCGCTCGGCAGCCCGTTCAGACCGACTACGAGCAGCAGTCAGCTCCAGCCTCAATCCGCCTCCAAGCCAAGAAACAGCTGGACCCAGCCACTTTCCAACTTGATCCAGGCAGGTGCTCAGTTCTTCCAGTCTCCCACCAGGCTCTTGGCGCAACCACCAGTCCCGCCATCAGCAAACCAAAGCCAACCCCCGTACGAGGATCCTTTTGGCGCCGAAAATAGTCACATCGGCCAGCCGAGCTTCATGGAGGCCCTGGCAAAGAGTGTGCGGTCCTCGTCCCCGAGCAGGGCGACAGCACGTCCCAGGTCAATGTCGGGATCTCTCCGTGCTGCTCCGGCCGACGAGGCCGATGAAATGATTTGGATGCAGGAAGAGCCTGCTCCTCGCGAGCAGCCGTTTGCTCCGTCTCGATCTGTCAACTCCAGCATGGACGCAATCGGCAACTCGTTTGGCAGCCAAAAGCGCAGCTTTGAGGGTCGAACAAACCTTGAGGCACAGCGCAGCTTCGAGTCTCAGCCTGGCTTTGAGCGTCAGGACTACGATGCCGGTGACGACACCGAGGTTGAAGAGCAGGAGCCAGAGGAAGAGGAAGAGCCAGAGGAAAAGGAAGAGCCTGAGGAAGAGTATGCGGAAGAAGAGGAGGACGATGACATTTGGGCAGTTGAGGCTTCACGACCGGCTTCGCAGTCAAGCCGCCAGCGCGACGTTGGCAAGCAATCCGTCCAATCGATTCCTGCCCGCCACGCTGCCCCAAGCCCCTGGACGAGAGGCCCCGAATCACCAAAGAAGCCGCCTGTGTTCACCCCAGCTGCGTCTCGTGCCCACGACTTAATGGCTGATGATGCTGAGGTAGAGGACTTTTCTATGCTCTCTCAGCAGCGCAGCCACCAGAAGCAAATCCCCCACAAGGCCCTCAATATGGCTCAGCACTCGTCCGCCAAGAAGGACCTGTCTGCCTTCTTCTCGTCTCCGGCTCTCTTGCCGGGCACCGAGGGCGTTCGGGACATCCTGGACGCGAAGAAGCGACAGAATGCCATCGCTCAGAGGGACCTCTCACAGCCTGCCGAGCGCTTCCCTGGGGGACTAGAGACGAACTCGATGTTCCCATCCGTCCCGCAAAAGGCATTCAACCCATCTCAGAGCGGGCGATCAGATCTCTTCTCTCCCGCAAAGTCAAGTGCCGTCAAGGCCAGCAGCGCTGCCATAAACCCTGACGTTCAAAATACCCGCCGGGAGCTCTTCGCCTCCAGCAGGAGCCGGCCCAACATGCGCCATCAGTCAGAGATTCCCGACTCTCAGCCCGCAATGTCG